AAAAAAAAGTATGTGGAGTATCTGCATCTACGTCCGTGTATCTATCCCAATAGCGGGTGCTTTTGCTTATGCGTGACTGCTACGGGAAGGAATGTTACAGCATTTCCTCTGAGAGTGTTGTGGGAAAACGTCTGGTAGAGCATCGTGAGATGGTCTTGCACAATAACTGTGCACTGAGGGGAACAGAGCAGTCCAACATGGAAAAACAGCCATTGTGTGCAAGTTACACAAGTGCATTAAAAGGGAAGAATCTGAACTTTTTAGGCACCCTACATATGTTTTACAACTAGTTTAAAAGAAATGAAGAAAAAAAGAGGTGACTTAAAAAGCTTGATGCAGTTTGAATTCTTTGGTAGAGGAAAAACAACATGACTTTTAGTATGAGAGTGGCTCTTATGCTTGCGGAAATGTGTCTCTAAACACTTTTAGAGACAATGAGCTGTTTTGAAAAGCATTGTCTAGGTGGGAGTGTTTTTGACAAAATCTAAATTGTTCTACAAAACAAAGGGAAGAAATGTTAATTTCTGACAGTTGGAAAAACAAGGGTTTTGGGTCTTGGTAGTGAGAGGATGATTGAGTGAGACAGCAGCCAGCAAGGTCCTAAAAGGAAGGACAGTTAGAGACTAATCCCCATTAGAAGGGACGACCATGAACCCTTAGAGGAGTGCATGATTCAGGTTCTCTTCTGAGGCATAATCTAAGCCCCCACTGGCCCCCCAACCTTCCAGGGGACCCCATCACACAGGGCAGCCACATGTCCAGGATTGCTGGAAGAAAAGTGTCAGGGGAATGAGTGAAGAAAAAGCAGTCACGAGAAGTGAACTAATGTGCTGTGGATTCAGAGTTGAACAGAGGCGGGAATTCATAAAGACCCTCAGGATTCCTCTTCAATCTCAGGCAAGACACAGACTTTGCCTTGTTCTTACAAATGCTGCTAGTCACTTTTCTTTATCTAATACATAAATATCATATGTGTAGCATCTACATTAATTTCATTAAGGATAGAGTGTGTTATAAACTGCTACTATAATATGAAGATTCTAAGATGAAGAGGAAATACTTTCTATTTTTAGGATGAACATGTGATAGTTGTGGAGAAGACAGCAAGAAATCAACATTGCAACCATTCTGATACATGTCATAGTGAAGGTATTCAGAGGGCTTTTGAAGTGAAGCAAGGGGAGAAATGATTAACTCTAGAGATTATGGAGACTAAAGACAGAAAATGCACAAATTCTACACTAGCACATTTATCTGAGTCTTCTGGTATACAATGGAACTACTAGTTCAATTTTACCTGATTGATAGGACCTTTTAAAAATCGGTTTTGGTAGAAATCCTGTTTATTCTGAAGCATTTATAAATCTTTTAAAATAACAGTGAGTTTTAAAATAACGGTATTTTAAAATAGAGATTCCAATCTCCATTTCTTCCATTCTGGGCATTCACTGTTTCTAGAGTGTAAGCCAAAACCAAAATAAGCCTTTTAGTCCACGCCATTAGGGTATAACTTATAAAAGAAAAAAAAATTAAAAGTTCATATGATTTGAAGTTATTAGCCCACAGCATAAAGAATTCCAATGTTAAAGACCGTGAAACGGAAAGAGGCTTGCTCCACAAACCCAGAAATCAGTTCCTCCACTTCTAGAGGCAAATAGAAGAGACAATTCTCCAGCTTGGATGGCACACAGGGCCTCGCTAACCGATCACTTTGGTTGTGCTAATGCAGACTAAAATAAATTAGTTTGACTTCATTTTGGGGATTTACTGAAAAGGCAGTTATGAAGTTTCCTCTGTTCTCGAGATAGAGTATAAACGTGAACTACTGTGTGCTCAGAGAGAAAGCTGTCGATGGAAACCAGCGGTAAGACATTTCTTTGTTTTTCAAAAGCAGCATAATGAAACTGAAATATATTTTCTTATTAAAGCAGATTGCAGAAAAATTCTTTCAAGGGATTTTGAGATTTGTTTTTATTTGTGGAATCATTCCAATACACAGTAAAATTATGAAATCAATTCACCAGTAATTTAAGTATAATACCACAAGCCACTTTTTCTGTAAAGGACCAAATATTAGGTACAATCACAAAACATTTCAACATCCATCAAAATAAGAATCATATAACTTCCCAAGAAAACACATTTGAAATTATTCTGTATATAGCATATTAAGCCTGGAGATACAGACGTTTGAAAAACAATTCTAAAAATGGAATATTAAATACACAATATTAATTTTTAATATATTTGCTATAATAATGAGCTAATACATTATAGAATGTCATAAATCCTGTGATATAAATACAACTATCTTCATGTGTGGAAATGTTAATTATTTTATTCAATAATAATGATCAATTATGTTGATACTACCATCAAATTTATCCTCAAATTTTTTAACTTGACTCTGGGACACAAAATTATTTAATTCACTCTATGACATTTTGTCTTTATTTAGAATATAAATCAATGTAAAAAATATGTGATTTTATATTTTATAATATAAAAAAGTAATGGCATTTAATTTTTAGCTATATATTTTTAATACTGACATACTATAGGTCAAACATTTATTCATGATAATTTCCTATACCTAAAAAACTGAATTAGAATAATACTATTTAAATGCCTGTGTATACAATGGAATCACACAGTCTGTGTGACTCAACCCATTTAGGCTGCCTTGAGGACATAACTCATAGATAGTCCTTCAATTTTGCTCAGAGGGTCTGAGGTCAAATTGTAATGAAGAATTATTCTCTAATCTGTATTGCCCTTCATTACCGATGACTGCATCTATTGACAACGATGCTGTGTGCATTAAAAGGGCCACAGGGAAGGAGAGAAAGGAAGGAGGAAAGTGGCTACTTCTGCACCTCTGGGACTAGCATCCCAGATGGCCCTGCCCTGGGCTCACTCTAAGTAGAGCTGTTGCCTCCTGTATGAAAATCCAAAAGGACTCAGTCTATGTGGACCTAAAGGAGGCTACTCTCTGATATTTGGGGTGAAGGACTAAACTCAATATCTCCCTATATAGCTCCTAATTATGATTGGGTGGTAGAGAAAACTCTGAAGCTATAATTTAAAGCACCTGGTGTCCAATTACATTATGAAAATGTAGGTTTTAGGATCTGAAAAACATAAAACTTTAATACAATTGGATGGCTTTACTTATATAATAACAAATTAAAGTTGTGTTTCTTAATCATCAATGGTTTGTCCATTCCAGTAACTATAATAAATTTAGGAGGGTACTACATGTTATTAGGACTACTCAATATTTTTTTCTCTTCAAAAACCACACCCTTCTCTCAATTATGGCTGAAGACTGCTTTGATGATGATAGAAATTCTGCATGTAAGACAAGTATATAATTAACCATGGAATTTCACTAATTTGCTTTACAGTTACATTCCAAATGATATTTTAATATAACAGTTGGGTAGTTTTATACCTTAAAAAAATACATGTCCAAAAATGAACGTATTATGTACTTTAAAATGTTTTTTTTTAATCACCAAGTAACAATGATCAAATGCCCAACACACAATACTACCTATTTCTCCTTACAGGTCATTATTTATCAATCATTTTCCCATACCCACATAGACACATTACTATTGTGTATTTGCAGGGTCTTGCCACAGATAACTGTGCAAAATAGGGTGGTACAACACATTCATTCTTAACTGCAAGCTTCCATTTGACATTATACCTAGGATCTTCTCTTTGGTCAAGAAAGGGAAATCTCTTCCCAAAACAGCTTTTTTTTCCCCTTAAAACCCACTATTTCCTTTCTTCTGAAATAGACAGGCAAAACTACTTCAATTTGAAATATTGTTTTGGAACACATGAATATCATTCATGGGTATGTAACATTAAGAAGATTTAGCAACTATAAAAGTTAAGCTTCTCAGCCTAAACCACAGAGAATAAGACCATCTACCTGCTTAGTGCAAAACTCTCACCAGATTGCCTGGTGTCTCCCCAGACCTGTTCCCCTGTCCTGCCTCTTCATGCCTTTAAAAGGAGAAAACATAGCTGGGCAGGTTCGTGTGCACCTTATTTGATAGGTGTTCCTGGAAGTAAAATTCAAACTCAATTGCTTTACATTTTGACCAGCTACAAGAACCATAAGGTTATTACTTTAAATAAAGATAGATTTAGGGAAAAAGTGGGCTCATCTTTGTTCCACCCCAGAAAAGCTTTAGTTTTTTAACTCATTTGTCAAAAGGGCTGACAGTGGTACAGAGGTTGGGGTTACTGAGATGCTGCTGTGCCTCTGATAACAAAGAATTGATCAACTTACCTGATGGCTCATATTGGACAGTGCCCTTTAAGAAACATATTTGTTATTTTTGAAAAGCAGAATTCTAAGACCTCAGGGCTTCATCTCTATAAAACATTGGCAAGCTTTTTGGGGAGCATATCAATCCAGGGAGTAAAAGACCTGAGAATTTGGCAAAGCAAGAGAATGAAGAGGAGTGAAGTTATGGTTCCAGGTTCTCACAGTGCCATCCAGTCTCCAGTTTCTTATCCATGGAGTTCATTCCAAGAACCAACAATACTATTAAAATAACGGTCACTTCCTTTAAGAGATGCAAAATATGCATGATGTATCCTCAAATCTAAGAAAGAAAAGGAGCCAGACAAAATAGCTTGAAAAAACACAGTTCCATTAATAAAAAAAATGTAGCATCAGCAGCCAAATGATGTAATTTATCTCTTTAGAAATGAAAGAGGTGGATGCTCTTGGCTGGCTTCGGTTCACCTGCAGTCAAAGGAGAGCAAGTTCTATCTTTAACTTGCAAAACTGAAGTTAGGCAGATGTCAAGCTTAGTGGTCACTGGCAGTACTTTCCAATGAATCAGCGAAGCTATATTTAAATTTTAGGATTTTATACCCCACCATGAAACCAACAAATTCTGGCTAATGAAAAGTAAACAGAAAAGGGCTGAGCAATTCAGAAGGCCCCAAGACTATAATAAAAGCAACTGCTATCATTTGTATAGCACTTGGCAGTTTATTTATGAAGGTCTTTCACACACTTGGTTTCATGTAGTCCTCACAATAATCTTGGGAGGCAGTGTTATCAACTCCCTTGTACAGCCGAGGAAATAGAAGTTTCTTGTATGTTTAAGTGATTTGCCTGAAGTCCTGCATTTCGTAACAAAGGTAGCCAGATGAGGTGCAGAGCAGTTCTCTCTCCATCTCCATGGCATCAAGTTCGAAACCCTGCCTCTCTGCTGCTGACACTGTTGGATGGGTGGGAGACCAAAGGGAAGCCCAAGCTATTTTTAATTAAATGTGAGGCGACATAGTGTATCCTGAGCCACTTTTTAGCAGACTGTCTTATGAGTCTGGATTCCCTGAACAGGAAGCAATGAGCCTGTTAACATCCAGCACAACTTTTTGTTAAAGGGTGCTGTCCAATATAGCACAATGTTGTAGTTCCACATTGGTCAAGACACTTTTATGACGTTCCAGGGACCGTCTGCATAGCACCTTGGACACTCTGCTTCTACTCTTCTCATAAAACCGAGTATTCCTGATACAAATCTGACTTTAAAACGATCTTGCAGTAGGAGAAAAAAGAAAATATCAGTGAATCGACACTTTTTTCCCTAGCCTGAAGCATCTTAGTCCATTGGCTTTTCACAACTGATAAAACATCAGGAACCTAAAAGAGGGAACTGCCAGTTCTGAAGTTCCTGTTTTGAAATCTAGGTGATTTATAGCTTCTAACAGAACTTTCTTCTTTCCCCTCTGAACCAGATACCACCTGCTCATATACGCCTCTAGCACTCATGCCTTTCCAGGGCACCATCCCTTGTTTAGGCCACCGTTTGAGGCAGCATTTTCTGATGTATGTAAGTTGAATGTACCGGATGGGGACAGTTTCTTTCAAGTCGCTTCTAATTCCTTTCAAACACTAAGACTGATTGAAGATGAGCTCACTTTGTTCAGAAATAAGACCCTTACATTATATGACTTTTAAACCAATCAAACCTTACTTATGTCAGAAATAAAAAGAAAACAAAAGAAAAGAAACCAACAATAAAATATAAAGTCAGGATGGCTATGATTTTTCCCTTTAGAAACTTGTCATATTTATTTCTGGGAATTAGACCTGAAAATTTCAGTGTAGCATTTTTATTACCATTCCGTAGAAAACAATTCATAGCTTTTGGTCATAGCAATGTGAAAATGCAAATAGAAAAGAAACAGAATCTTGTACCCAACGAGTTGATTTATGCTTATCTCATGTAGTTCATTTGTTCTAATGACTGCTAGCCGGATTCAGCCAATGGGCCCCAAAGTCTGTTACAAGAGTCAGCTGCATGATCGAGGGGCTCAGGTTGAAATAGGAATGAATCTGATGAACTTGGAAGATTTAGGCGAGTCCTTCCAAGTGCTCATACTGTTTGTCGGGCTTCGGTTGTTAGTGTAAGAAGTCTGTCTTCTGCTCGTACTGTCTGAGTCCTCTTTGTTGAACCCTTGATTCGTGTTCTGGCAGCAGGGGAAGCTTCGGATGAAGTCTTGTAGGAGATGGCCACTAAAAAACATGTATATCCAGGGGTTGCAGCAACTATTCAAGGAAGCCAGTAACGCAGTGATGGTGATGGTCGGGTTTTCTGACTCTAAGGAAAGTGTAAGAGGAGATTATTCAAACAGTTAAAGGCAAATAACTGAGCCCTGGGTAAATTTATTTTTCTATTGACTAAGGAAAGCAGAAAAAAATTTATGGGTTAATAAAGAAAATGAAGTCTTTTGGGAGGTGGTACATGGAAACTGCTTGGTTATAAAATATTTTCATAAGCAAAATGCCTTGAAATCCATTCAAATATTTTAAAGACACTATTAAAATATTTAAATAGAATAAGTGGAACTTTTAAGGGGTTAAGAATATTAAGTAATTTATTTAAAATTTTTTTGTATCCTTTACACTACCACCAGCATGTGCTAAAGGACACAGCACTTAGAGAATGGCTGCAATTTCAATGACATTTCGACTCCATACCCACATACACCAAATTGTATTCATCCCAATAACTCGGGCAAAAGTATGACATCATGGACCATGTTTAGCAGTTTTAAATTTTTAAATACTAAAACACAATTGTGTAATATCATAACTATATAGAAGGGGATAGTTGAAATAGGCCCCTGAAGGATACAATATTTGGTGGTTTTTCTTTGGTTAGTTAGAAAATTCTTTTGATTTTAAAAGAAAACCATCTCTGTGGTTTAGACAATCAAATTATATTATTATTAAGAACAGCTCAGTTAGAAGATTCTGGTAGGCTTTTGAAATATTTTATGTTACTTTGCACTGGTAAACTCCATACCTATTATAAACTTTCACAGTAGAATAGATAATATGCCTTTTCTGAAGGTAACAATACTCAGCAAGCACTGATTCTCCCTTGATAATAGAATGTAAGTGTGGGTCTTCTCATGCTGTGCCAGAACAATAAATTACAGGTTACTTCATCATTCTATACTTTTAAAGGTGGTCGTGATCCAAGACTAAGACTATTAAAAAAAATGGAAATCGTCAACACACCTACACATGAGTGAAGAAGTTTTTAGTACCAGGTCTAAATCCCAATAAAGTAATTATTAAACTGAATTTTTATTTGATTGGCAATCATTAAGAGGCTGCTAAGACCAAACAAGACAGAAATAGTAAACTAAAAATATAGCATTTATGTTGTATTTTCATCTGTAATATTATAGTCATGCAAATATTTTCATTTGTTTCAATTAAATTCACTCTCGCATGTTTCATTGGCACATGTAACTTCCAAAGTATTTCACATTTACTTCATACCCAGTCCCAAATACCCATTTTCCAAGTACAGATTTCTTCCCAGATACCCATTTTCCAAGTAAAGCTGTTGTTGGTAACATTCTATAGTATAATTCTTTTGAAAGTTTTTTTTCTTGCTAAAAGGAATTTTTTTCATGATACAATATTAAACAATTCCCTTTGGGATAAAGTCTTGTGACGTTCATTGTTTAGTCTGTAAAGGAAATAAAATCGAACAAGCTAGTAGGTGTAGAGAACACTCTCCATGAACTCCTGCAAGGGTTGCACAGAGAGGTGTATGAATGTGTGGTGAAGATATTGCTGAAAGACTGATTAATTAGTCTCACAAATTTACAGCTTTTAAAAATAATTCTCCTGTGAAATACCAGAGAAAAAGAGTGTTAAAGTAACTGTTAGAAAAAAACTTAAAAAACAAGAAATGGAACACTAGCTAAATGCCACATTAGAATTACTGACTTCTTAAAGAATTCTTCCTTCAGAAAAAGTTTGTCCATTTTACGCTTGCCCTTGGGGCATGTCTACAAAGTTTTTGTATTAATTGTGATATTTTCACAAAGTAGCAAAAGCAGTTGTGAGAGTAAAACTAATTCCTTGAATCCAATAGATTGGAAAGCAGGTAATTAACACAGAGGTTAGTGATTGGCAGAAAGTCATTCTGTTTTTGTAATTGTGTGGCTGCTCACTTTAGGGCGCAGTTTCTGGATTTGTGGTCTTCGGATCACTGCGAGCTACGGGTGCGGATTGCTGGGCCCCATTCCAGAGGTACTGAATCAAAACGTCTGGGGCAGGGACCCCAGAAACTTGCCTTTTTGATAACTTCAGGCAAGGTGTAATTCTCATGCACACAGAAGTTTAAGGATTGTCCTAAAGGATGTGATAAAGAGAATCCCCACCCCTGCTCCCGCGGCTCCATCCCTGCGCCTTCCTCTATTGTCCCGACACCTACCGACCCATCTGAGGTTCTCGTCCCAGACAGACCACATCTGGATGACGAAGAAGGGCGCCCAGCAGACGATGTAAGCCGTCACGATCACGAACGTCATCTTCACCGTGCGGATCTTGGCGCGGGAAATGGACTTCACGCTGCTGACACAGGGCTCGAGCAGGAGCCCGTTGTGGAAGGCGCCGCCGCCGGGGCCCTCGGCACTCTGGCCTCCGCGCGGCCCGGTCTTTCCGCGGAAGTTGCGCCAGATGTGGTGGCAGATGAAGCCGTAGCAGGTGCTGAGAATGACCACCGGCCCCACGAAGATGCCGCACGTCATCCAGGTCACGTAGGCGCGGGGCCCCCAGGGCTGGATGAAGTTGGCCCAGCAGTCGTAGGCCTTGGTGACGTTGTCCACCTGGACCATGGAGAAGACGAAGTACTGCGGCGTGCTCAGCACGAAGCTCAGCGCCCAGGCCGCGGCGATCATCACGCGCGAGCGGCGCGCGGGCTGCTGCAGCGTCTTCAGCGGGTGGCACACGGCGATGTAGCGGTCGGCGGTCATGACCACCAGCATGTAAGCGGACACGAACATGACGAACACCTGCAGGTGCTTCACCACGCGGCACAGCCCGTCGGATCCCCGGAAGCGGTAGGTGATTTCCCAGCACAGCTGCGGCAGCACCTGGAAGAAAGCGACGGCCAGGTCCGCCAGGCTGAGGTGGCGAATGAAGAGGTGCATGCGGGACGTCTTGCGGGGCGTGCGGTGCAGCGCCAGCAACACGGTGCTGTTACCCAGCACACCCACCACGAAAGTCACGGCCAGCACGGCGATCTCCAGTTTGGCGAGCTCCTCGTCGCGCTCGTCTCTCTGCGCACCTTCGCCTTCCCCGAGCGCCCCCGTTTCCCGACTGCGGTTGGCCTCGCCCGTGGTCAGCGGCCACAACAGGCTGGAGTTGCCCGCGGACCCTGTGGCTGAAGGCATGCTGTCCGCGCGGCGCCCCTTCGACTGCCGCCGAGGCTCGTTCCCTCCCGGCCTCCGCGTGCGCGGGCTCCCGCCCGAGGCGTCCTCTCCGCCTCGCACTGGCCGCCGGCCGGGATCCGCTGTCCCTCCCGCAGGCGTCCGCCCGCGCTGCCTCCCACCCACGAACTGAGCCGCTCTCCGTCCGCCTCCCGCAGCTTTTCCTGCTCGGCCCCTTGGCAACTCGGAGGAAGCTGGGGAGGTGCGTTCCGAGCCTCTAAAAAGCACTGGGCTCCATTACTTAGGCGAGGTTTGTTTCCCCAGAAAACGCTCCCTCCCGCCCCCGCGGCTGGAGGCTGCTCCGTGCCTACGATCCCCACCTCCCCACCCGCTTCCCGGCGGGTTGTTTATTTTCCCCTCCGCACGTCGGCGACTCGTCCTCTTTACATCACCACTGCAGGGGCGGGGCGCGGAGACTTGCCCCGTCCTCCGCACGATAGGCTGGATCTCGGCGCTTTCCCGCTCCTCTCTTCCAAAAGTCTCGGAAAACAGGGCGTGTCGTGCCCTTTCTGGGCTTGCAACCGTTTCCTGGAGCCTCGCTCAGTGGCCACCTCAACCCCGCATTGGACTTCAACAGATGCTTTCAATACCTTCCCTAGAAACCCCGAGTTCACCGCCGGGCGCGCGAGCTCTTGCGCCCGAAATTGGCGCAGGACCTCCCCTCCTCCAGCCCGGGTTTCTCCCGCCGCAGCGACCCGAATAATTTTCTTCCCAGGGGAGTTTGGCTGCGGGAATGCCCACGCTCCGGGCCCCCTACTCCCCTTCCTCCTTTGCAGAGTAACAACCGGGTGACTCGGCGCGCACGCTCCTCGCGGCAACTTCTGCGCCGAGCTGTTCCCTGCCCCTGTTCGCATCGGCGAGGACGCGCTCCCTTTCCCGCTGCAGCCTCGCGGGCGGGTACCTGCGTCGGGGGAGGGACCCCTCGCGGCTTTCCAGTTTCGTCGGGGTGGGGGTGCGGGGAGACGAACACAGTTTACTCTAAGTTAGATCCTTGGGGTTTTCTCCGGGGAAAAGCCTGATTCTCACAGAGACGATAGGCGGGAACTGGGCCACGATAGTCCGTGGGGACGTCTCCTCGAGTGGATAGAAAGCAGCTGCCGGAAAACGGCCACCCAGGCAACGCTGGCCAGGGCACCGAAGCAGAAACTCTGCCAGGCCGCTGCACTGGGAGGGGTCGGGGTGGCGGTGATGAGAAAGAGTCCGCCGTGGCGGTAAGGAGGCGCCAGGCAGGAAGAGTTCTAGAAAAGAACGCCTACCTGTTGTGAATTAGTTACTCCGGACAGCGGGAGCTCAGCTGCGGGCCCAGGCGAGGCAGGACGCCTCTGTGAGCTCTGCGTGTCCACTTTGTGAAGCTGTGCTGGGAAGGACAGCAAGGGGGCGCTGTTTTCAGGCTATTTCATGAAAGAAAAAAAAAAGTGAGGAAGCACCGTAAGATTACCTGTACGTAGGAACACAAACATGTTGTTCAAGTACAGTTTTCTGCCTTCTACCCCCATCCCAGCCCACCCCCAGCCCTCCCCACCTCCCTCCCGTTTCCACCTCCCCCACCTTGTTTTTGTCCATGTGTCCTTTGGACTTGTTCCTGCAAACCCTTCCCCTTTCCCCCTGACTTTCCCTCCCCTCTCCCCTCTGGTCACTGTCAGCCTGTTCTCCATTTCCGTGTCTTTGGTTATATTTTGCTTGTATGTCTGTTTTGTTGATTAGCGAACATGACTTTTTGATCCGAATGTTTGTGTATTGTGGCTGTGGTGTAAATTTGATAGTCTCATGACAATATCTGTAAAATATAGAAAAGTAAACCACAGATTTTCTGAGGTGCATTTCTCAGTGGAAATTCCACTCTGCTTCCCAGTTTGTTCATGCAGAGTCCCAAGGTTGTGACATTAAGGTTACTGGAGTTGACCTTTGGAGTCCTGCTTCACTGTGCCTGTGTAAGCCTTGGTTGATACATCTTACAAATGGGAATAAAACCACATGCTTGACCTACTATAAGGTTATCGTGAATCAAGCAAGACAACATTCTGTGTGGGGGAATGCTCTCAAAACTACAAGCTATCTTTCCGTGGAGAAAATTCATGTTCTCCAAGATATTTAAGGAAAAAAAGATTTTAAAAGTTCAGAGATGTCAATAAGTCACAGTTTTCCAGACCACCTGCCTGGAAAAATCCTTCAAGCAATTACATAGTGGTCACTGACTTGGAGAGGTGACCTCCTTTCAAATCATGAATTACACTATTAGTGCTACTTATGAGAAATAATATCCGACCCAGTGTCCCTGGGTATTGCAAAAGTGGTCCGCTGATCAGAACCCAGCAATTTTATTGCTCTCGACCCTACCCCTTTGAGAGTTTAGATTTTTTAAGGGGAGGGAACCTGCAGTACAGTGTCACGAATGTTCCTTTGGGTGTTCTTACTCCAGAAACATGGTGGTGGCCTCTTAGAAAACCATTCATCTGTGTTGAGCTCTCTGACCAATAATCAACTATATCCAATTTATAAAAATAACTCATTAAGTTACATCAGTGGGCACATTTGGAAGATATTATTCAGTGAGCAACAGTACTAATTAATTACCCATAAGTATTATACATGTATTTGACACATATAGAGATATTATACATGATATAATTACTATATTTATAGAATATATATAATATATAATTTCCTGTTGAAATATATGTGTATATTTCAACAAAAAAATGTTCAACGCAGATTCCAGATTCTACTCCCTCTTTTCATCTACATAGCTTTAAAAATGTGCCTGTCTTAATTTTAATAGTTCTATATTCAGAGGAAACTAGAACCATTGAAATACAGACTCAGGATTCAGGTACCTCACTGGAACTGCTATGAAAATTATTCAGTGGAGGTAAAGAAATTGTGGTCCTAAAATGTGAAAAGAACATAGTATATTCTGTGGCATCTTGTGCTATTTCTTAGAGCAATTTTCATTGTTCTGTACTTCTTGTATTAAGACTTACTGCTTTCTCCCTCTTACTCGTAGCGGATTTCAGTTAACATACTTTGGGGGGTGTGCGAAGTGATGAAAAGAAAAATATGCAAGTTGCGCATGTATATCCTGGAGTCATCTTTCTCTTTCACTTGCCAGTCTTCCTCCCAGTTTGCAATTCCAGATATTTTAAGAAGTATATCAATTAGTGGAAGCTCCTACCTCCTTTATTTACTAGCTGTGTGACATTGTTTTAATCTCTGAGCCTTAAATTCTTCTTCAGCTGTAAGATCTTGGTGATAAAACAACACAGTTCCTGCATTATTTCCATATTTGGTTGTTTAAGTTTCTGGCATTTTGTAGGATTCCAAATGTTAATTCTACCTTTTAAAAAATATGCAAATATCCTCCACATTACCTGTTCTTTGCCAACAAGGTTTTTCCTTTCAATTAACCCAGCACATCCCAGCTCCTTTCTATGCAATAGAAGATATTGACAGCATTCTTATGAGAAAAGAACTCCATGGTCCAATACATTGGAGAAGTGCTGTGTATGCATCCCACTCTCTCTTGGAGATGTATATGTAAAAAAACTCTGAGAAACCTGCTCAATTTTGTTTATCTATGTTTCCCAAAGCTATGTGACCATGGAAAACCTTCATCCTTTTACTTTCCCCAATGCAAAGGTGACGGACATGTCACAGGACAATGGACATAGTTTGAAGAACACTGAGTAAAGCACTTGGAGTTCCAGATCACTTGGCAGCCACCACTGGACTTAGTCAAGAAATTGAGGGTGTGAGTCAAAGAATAACCTACTCTCCTAGGGGGAGAGATTCCCAATACAAATGGGTTATGTTTAGTTTATCATATTACTTTATATATTTTTGATAACTACTTTTCAATGTGTGTCACTTCCTTTTCTTAAACTGTCAGTTTTCTTTCTGTTGGTAAGAAAATAGAGGAAATTGGGTATCTGCAGGACCATTCGTTTTTCTCCTATAGCCTGCAAAGGCTCCTTCCCCTTCAAATGTTAATGAATGACGCTGCAGTTAGAGGGCTATTGTCTGGTATTCATACCACTGCTTCTGGCAAATCAGCAGTATCAGTGGCAGCTCACCACGTCTTTAGCCCTCTAAAGACCCTCACATACAAAGAAGTATGTAAGGGTCACTTACCTTTATTAAACATCTTGTCTGTGCCAGGCACTGTCACAGGTGCTTTATGAGTGTTACTTCACTCAGTCCTCCCAGTGACCCTACGAGGGCCATTTCATTTTACATTTGAGGGAGCAGAGGCACAGGGAGGCAAATGACCAGCCTCAGGTAACACAGCTGGTCAGTAGTAGCAGAGCCAGGATTTGAACAGAAGCAGTTGACTCCTGCAGACTTTACAGTCTTGTCTGTTACACTGGGCTGCCACCAGTGAGCCTCACCCTCCTGGGGTCTTACTGATGCAGACAGAGCACACTGGCTTGGTTACTGAATGTTTCACTCATGCCTCATACGTTCTCCTTCAGGACTAGGAGAGTCTGTAGGATCTGCACTGGTTATTCCATACCTTTGGTTTCCTCTTTAGTAAACCACGTACAGGACAATAATAGTAATAGTAGTAGGAGCAGTAATAATGGTACTAATAATAGATACGATTAGCATGTATTAACACTGATTAAGCTCATAATGCATGAGCTGAGTTTTAATTCATTATTTCATTTAATATTTACAATAACATCTAACACTGTACATAAGAATGCACATATTGCTACCCCACTTTATAGATGAATCAGCAAAGGTTAGTGAGGGTAAGCGACCGCCCGAAGTCACAAGGCTCCCGGGTCCACGTGAAGGGAAAGCTTGGGCTCCCACCTCTGTGTCCTGCTGCCTTCCAGGCACATCACAGCACTTAACACATGCTGCAGAAAGAGTTAACAAATCTTTTAATACCAACTGAGATTTAAAAATATTTTTAGCCTCTTTTCTTTTTCTTGGGGCTTGACAGGGGTTAGTTTTGAAACAATCCATTTTATTTCTATTTTCCATCCATTCCTCCCATTCCCCAGTCTGTCACCTCACACACACTTGCCAGATGCTTCTAAGTTTTCTGAAAGTTCCTCTCCTCTCCGGCAGGGGGACTGGGGTAAATGTGGAATAGGTTGTGTTTTATTTTCCATTAGTATTTTTATGGAGATAGTGACATACTTACGATTAATTTATCCCTGGATAGAGCAATAAAGCATACATGCTGCCTGAGAAAAGGTTAAATTCACTAGACCTTCACTTCAATGTATACATGGGAATCTCTATGGTTTACTTTGTCCAAATATTTTAAAGATAATGATGTAA